CCTCCTCCTCCTCCTCCTCCTCCTCCTCCTCCTCCTCCTCCCCCTTCTCCTCTCCACTTCTTCGTAGTAGTATTATTCGTCGGAGCCGTGGCATTCAATACATATGAAAATGCTTACTCGCATGTTTCCTCTTCGGCGTGTGGGAGACGCTGTTCTGTCTGACTCGTCGTCGTCGACGTCATCGTCGTCGTTCTGCTCGTCTTTTCGTCGCAATCGTCGTCGTCGTCGTCGCAGTCACTGGGTCCTCCTCCTCCTCCTCCTCCTCCTCCTCCTCCAGCGTGCCAGCCACAGCGAAACCGACCCGAAACCTCAAACGCGCCAGCCAAAACGAAACCAAGCTGAACTTGAGCAACATCGTAGTTGACTCGAAGGGAAGCTTCTTCCCTTCGATCACATCCTCCCCGGAGGGGAGCGGGTCCCGGGGTGGTGGTGGAGGGTGGGTGGGTCCCGGGTCAGAATGCCATCCCCCCGGGGCGGTCTTCGGGCCGGAAAAAAAAAAGCCAAGACGGGCCAAGAGTGTCCCAAGAGGCTGCCAAGGCGGCACCGAATCGCCGAACGATTGGTCCTACCCGACAAAGATGGCCTCCAGACGGCCCAAGAGGCCTCAAAGACGCCCGCATAGCCTTAAAGAGATCTCCCAAGACAATCCCAATGAGCCGCTTCCTACTCCGCGTCCTTATCCTCTGCCTGCTCCTCCTGCCTCCGCCGCCTCCGCCTCCTCCTCCTCCTCCTGCTCCTCATCCTCGCCCTCCTCCTCCTCCTCTTCCTCCTCCATCCCCTCCTCCTCCTTCTCCTCCTCCTCCTCCTCCTCCTCCTCTTCCTCCTTCCCCTCCTCCTCCTTCTTCTCATCCTCCTCCTTCCCCCCCGTTGATCCTCTCCTTATCCGCTAATCTGCTCTACGGTCCTCCTCCTCGTCGGTTCCTCCTTACCCTCATCTCCTCCTCCTCCTCCTCCTCCTCCTCCTCCTCCTCCTCCTCCTACTCCTTCTCCTCCTCGCCCCTCCTTCTCCCCCTCCGCCTCACCTCTTCCTCCATTCCTTCTCCTGATCAATAACTCCTCCCTGTCGCGCCCCGAAGTCGGTCGAAAGGGCGGGCCGGGCGTTTCGCCTGAGACTTTCTGACCTTCTGAAGCTTACACACTGATGACAGTTTCACACATGAAAGGCGGATGGTTTTCAACATGTGGCTCTCGTCTTCGCGCCGCGCACATTCGTTTTAACAGTTGCAAGATCTTCACGGATGGAGGGCAGGTGATTTTCAAAATGTGGCTCTCGCCTGAGCGCCGCGTACATTCGTCTGGCAAAGTGTGAGGGTTTCACTGATGGAGGGCGGGCCGTTTTCAACATGTGGCTCTCGCCTTAGAGCCGCGCATATTCGTCTTACAAGCTTGGAAGAGTTCCACGGGTTCGCATGGTCAGCGTACCAGAAATTGCGTGTTGGAGCGGTTCAGGGTTGTCAGGGCGCAACAGTCATGTTGATTCGTGGTGTTGAAGTCCCAGGAATGGTATTCTGGCACGACTCAGGCTCGTCAAGACGCAGCGTGACTGGTGGCATTGGAATCCGAGAACAGTGCTTTGGCACGCTTTAGGGTCTTCGAACGGTTGCCTTCCAACGGGGCACTTCCCCCAATGGAAATGGATGCTTGTATGGGCCTGTGAAGAGGGATCTTGGAGGAAGGGTTTATTCTAACATCTTTGTCGAGCCTTGAGTTTACACAGGTCCTCCTCCTCCTCCTCCTCCTCCTCCTCTGCTCCTCTGCTCCTCTGCTCCTCTGCTCCTCTGCTCCTCCTCCTCCTCCTCCTCCTCCTTCTCCTCCTCCTCCTCCCCCTCCTCCTCCCCACTCCTCCTCCCAATCTTCCTCCTCCCACTCCGACTCCTCCGCCTCCTCCTCCTCCTTCTCCTCCGCCTCCGCATCCTCCTCCTCCTCCTCTCCATCTTCCTCCTCCCACTCCGCCTCCACCTCCACCTCCTCCTCCACTCCGTCTCGTCGTTCCCCCTCCTGCTCCTCCTCCTCCTCCTCCTCCTCCTCCTCCTCCTTCCTCTCCTCATTCTCAGAGCTCCCTGTCGCCTCCTCCTGCTCCTCCTGCGCCTCCTCCTCCTTCTCCTCCTCTCGATCTCCTCCTCTTGCTCTCCCTCCTCCTCCTGCCCCCCCTTGTCTCGACCCCAGCATCTTCCTCCTCCGCCTCCTCCTCCTCTTCTCCTCGTCCTCCGCGCTCCCTGTCCGACTCATCCTCTCTGTCTGCTCCTCTGCGATCCTCCTTCGATCCTCCTCCTCCTCCTCCTACGCTTCTCCTGCTCCTCTTCCCGTCCCTCCTCCTCCCCCTCCTCCTCCGTTTCCTCCCTTTCCTCCTCCTCCTCCTCCTCCTCCTCCTCCTCGACCTCCCTCCTCCCCCGCCCCCTGACCCGAGACTGTGGCAGAGCCATCAGCGCGTGTTCGTCTTCGTCGTCGTCGTCGTCGTTCTGTTCGTCTCGTCTCGTCTCGTCGTCGTCGCCGTTGTCGTCAGTGTCGGTGGCACCAGGCGTAAGTCCTCAACAATATGTTCACTCGCATGTTCCTCTTTGTCAAAGCTACTGGCACTACTCTCAGTATTATTATTACCACCATTTTCATTATCATTCGCATTACGATCATCAATCGTCTTATTGATATTCTTAGTATCATCATCATCATCATTGTTATTTTCATTACTATTATTAGTGGTATGTATCATCATTCGTTTGCGTATGCTTGTGGTTCTTATTAACAGTATTATGATTATTCATATTATTGCTATTGAATATAGATTCGGTATTATTTAACTTATTACTCGTATTACTATTACTAGTACTACTACTATTATTATTATTATTGCTACTACTACTACTACTACTACTACTACTACTACTACTACTACTACTACTATTACTATTGCTACTACTATTGTTATTAATATGAATATATTTATTTATATATTTATTTATTTATCTATCTATCTGTTTATTATTATTACTATTATTAGCAAAACAATTATTATTGACAAGAGTGATATCAATATTCTCATTATTTTGAGTCCTCCTCCTCCTCCTCCTCCTCCTCCCCCATCCAAGACAAACGGTCGCGGGCGTGCCCACAGGCCCAGGATCTTCTCCGGGTCGCCGACCTTGCCCGTGGCAGGATGCTCCAGTATGCCGCGGATCGCCTTCGGCTCGGGAGACGAGCGGGGGACGGTGGAGGCAGAAGAAGCGGGGAGGAGGAGGAGGAGGAGGAGGAGGAGGAGGAGAAGGAGAAGGAGGAGGGGGAGGAGAAGGAGGGGAAGGAGGGGGGGAGGATGAGGATGAGGATGAGGATGAGGATGAGGATGATGATGATGATGATGATGATGATGATGATGATGCTGCTGATGCTGCTGCTGACGATGATGGTGATGATGACGATAATGATGCTGCTGATGATGAGGAGGATGAGAAGGAGAAGGAGGAGAAGGAGGAGGAGAAGGAGGAGGAGGAGGAGGAGAAAGAGGAGGCGAGAACGAACACGAGGAGGAGGATGAGGAGGGTGTTGGGGTGGAGAGAAAGAGGAGGAACTGAGGAAAAGGCGAAGTCTAGGAGGAAGAAGCAGGGCGACGGTGGTGGAAGAGAGCACAGGCGCACAAGCGGGCGACCAGTCGCGGAGAACCGGGACCACGAGGAGCATGCCCAATGGTCACGCCCCCGGTCGTGAGCGCTCGCTGCTGTCGCCTCCTAGACAGCGGGTAGGGGGGAAGGAGCGGACGAATGAATGTGTGGTCTTTTTGTTCCCCCCCGAAAGGAAGGAGCAGGCCGCCTTGCGGCCTGCGCGGGGGATGAGGGTGGGGGGGCGTGGCCCCCCAGGACTTCCTGGACAGAGGCCCTGTTCGGAGGGCGCGAGGGGGGACTGTGGCTCCCCAAGCTCTGCTTGCTCCGACATAACACTGTCCGGCTTGATGCTGCCGACATTCTCTACATATGTGCAATGCAAGAGCGCTCGGCGGAAACCAGTCGCTCCGTAGAAACGGGGGAGCGGAGGAGGGAGACGATGGGGAGGGAACGCTGTGGAGGCCTGCGGAAGCCCAAAGAGAGAGCCCAAAGCGTTCAGAAACGCTCCAAGCACGTACGAGAACTTCCCTCCTCGATCCTCGATCCTCGAGTGCATCGTGAACACGGGGAAGGCGCTGGCGAGAAGGAAGCTGCGAGTCTCCCCCAAGTCAGTTGTGCTCTGCTCTAAGTACGAGGACGCGGTGGCGGTGGCACGAGCGATGCGACTCAGAGGTTTTCAGATTCAGGCGGCGAAGCAGTCTACGTATTTGGGAGTGGACTTTAGTTGCGGGCATCGGGGTCGTGCTATGCGTGTCAAGCGCGACTCGAAGCATAAGCAGATGAGTACCAAGATTGCCAAGTTTTCTCGTGACTCGCGGAGGTATCACCACGCAGCACGGCTAGAGAAGGCTGGCGGCCAGCCAGCTGGCACGTACGGACATCAAGTGCATGGTATGTTTGGACAGCAGGTTACAGAGTGTCGTCGTCGGCTTGGCCAAGTGTGCGCTCGCCCTACCAAGGGCAGGTGCCTCACGACGCTTTTAGACCTGAGAGCGCCAGGCCAAGACCCCGCAGTTATGTATCCGAGGCGAACTATGGATTTATGGCTTTCGACATGGCAGTCGCATCCAGACCTTCGACGGAGCATACGACATGTGTGGCCAAAGATTGTAGCAGCCTTGACGGACCAAACACCTAGAGTGCAGGTCAGGCGAGTTCAAGGGCCTATTTCAGCGGTCATCCTCCAGCTCCTACGTTTGCAGTGGCAACCGACTGATCCTAGCGCATGGTCTTTTCAGAGCGAATGGGGTACCACGGAGGAGTGGCAGTTTCCAGATGATATTTATACTGGTGTCAGCGGTCGACACGCATGGCGGCATCCTGACCGACATAGTCACCTCAGCGAGCAAGCAGTTATGGAGGAAGGCGGCTAGTCATTTCTGCGGGGACGGTGTGCAAGATGGGGCCGACAATGAGTCGTATCGGAGATTGCTCTTTCATCTTAGCCAGCAGAAGGACGGCCCCAAGCTCGCTGATGTTATGCTGAATGTAGCCACGTGTGCAGCGTGGCCAAAGGATAGGAATCATAAGTATATTGCGAGGCATGCTGGCAACACTATTTGCGATAGGTGCCAGGTATCGTGCGAGACTGCCCTCCACAGAGGATGGCAGTGTGTTATGAATCGAGGTAATAAGGCGTATGACATGAGTGATGAGTTGGTGAGCCAGGCGCTGACGCAAGTCAACACAGCTGTGGCGTTCTGGCTGCGAGGATTGACGCCAGCAGCTTGGGTCGCTGCACCGCCACCCCCATCAGTGGAGCAGTGGTGGCATGCTGGCATCGACGGCCTGACCCCAGGCTGCATGGGCCACGGGTCAGAGCAGGAGCAAGTGTTCGTGTGTGGCGACGCTAGTGGGGGCAAGGACACAGGTTCCAACAAGCTACGGCGAGTGGGGCTGGCTATTGTGAGGATGCTCAGCAAAGACCGCTCGCTGGCACACTCGTGCGTGGCGGGGCCTCTGACAGGGTCCAGGCAGGTGGTCGCCAGAGGCGAGCTGAAGGCTTTCCAAATGGCATTGTACTGTACCTCAGGGGCCCTCACGTACGTCACGGACTGCGACATGGTGGCCGAGGGCTGGTATTCTAAGAAGTACATCGCCCCAAGGGGCGAGGATGCAGACATATGGTGGGAAGTGGGCAAGCTCGTGCGTGGCCGTGCCATCACAGTGCTGTGCAACCACTCCCACCTCACGGCTCAGGAGCTGTGCGACGGCAAGGGCGTGCAGGGTTTGGTCATAGGCAACGCAGTGGCCGACGAAGTGGCGGGACACTCAGCGACAGGGCGAGAGTCCCAGAGGGTGATCGACATCGGATCGACCCGCACGAGAGACGGGCCTTGCTGGTACGGCACAGGCTCCTCCGTGCGGCGATCGACAGCATGGCGGCCACGGAGAAGGCCGAGGGATCGAGGAAAAAGGAGCGCTCTGCTGCTGCTGCTCCTCCCCCTCATCCGCCCCCTCCGCTGCTGCTGTCGCCTCCCTCCTCTCGCCCCACGCTTTAACTAACGATAAGCGTAGGTGTTTGAACTGCTTCTGTTCTGCCACCAAGGAATGTATGAAGGCCTGGTGGCCCACACAGCGTCCACAGTTATATAATGTAGATGGTGTTATAATGTCCCCTAAGAAGGGCGATCGTATCCACATCATGGGGTCGTGGGCTCACCCCACGCAGACCCTCAATTTGCATACTACTCTTCGAATATGGTTCTGCACGTGTTGTGGGGCTATAGCCGAGAAGCAAATACGCCTCTTGAGCCGCCCGTGTCGTGAGCAGATGAATAATACCCAGAGGGAATACCTCGACAGACTTGCGGCTGGGTCAAAGCCAAAGGTCCTAAGCCAGGCCGAGAAAAAGGCCGGGAAATCGAGCACACTTCAATGGGTTAGAAGAGGGACGAACTTGCTTGCGCAACGGCCTCCACTCCACTCCGCTCCACTCGAGGGCAAAGCCTAGCAAGCACAGAGGAACAGAACACCACAGTCATCGTGCTGCCACAAGGAAAGCCGAATGAGGAACGAAGGGACCTTTCTGGCAACGGCGAGCCTCGGCCACGAGCTGGCCCCCCAACCCAGATCGGAGGAACGGCCTGAAGACCAGAGCCCTTCTTGAGCCCGAGGCGGTCCTTCTTTCAGCGTCTTCCCTTGCATTTCCACGTGAACTTTGCGGTGCACGGCTTCCCCCGGGGCCGTAGGCGACCCGAGGAGCAGGAGGAGGAGGAGGAGGGGGAGGAGGAGGAGGGGGAGGAGGAGGAGGAGGAGGAGGAGGTGGACTTCGGAGAAACCCTCCACTTTGCGGACCACCGAAAATGAATGCTTACGGTAAAGAACTTCTGCTCAGCGTGTCGCGGCGGCGGCCCTGACGACACGCCGGGCCGTGCGAGGGGATCGCGTCCTGCTCTGCTCCGCGTGGGGACTGGGACGTGGTCAGCGCGTGGGGCCAAAGCGAGGTGGGTCGGCAACGGTGGATCGACACGCCAAGGCAAAATTCCCGGCGTTCTAGAATTTGTCATGCGCGAGGCCGTGAGTCGTCCATACAGGGAACCTGTAAAGTAAGGATGCGCGATAAGGATGCAAGGCCCTTGGACGCCCCTTTCGAAGCTTCTCGAGCGGGGCGCGGCCAACGAAAGAGGCCAAGGGTGGACTGGCTAGGCAAGGAGACAAGGGTACCCTTGGCAAGGTTGCCCATCCTTACTATTAGGTCGGGCATGTCCTCCTACAGGCGGGACGAACAATGACAAATATCTTAACATATGCAAAAATAATCAGATAACAATAGAAAAGTCGCCCCCAGACTTTTTTCCCCCAGTCAGAGCTTGCCTCTGTTGGGGTCCTAGCAGATTCATATGGTTAGGTGAGGTGGGTCGCCGATTTCGGTGGCCGGCCCGGGTGCCCAGGTACCCGGGTGCCCGGGTGCCTGGGGGTGCCTGGGGGGCGCCCAGGTGCCTGGGGGTGCCCGGAGGTGCCCGGAGGTGCCCGGAGGTGCCCGGGGGTGCCCGGAGGTGCCCCGGCGGTGCCCGTGTGCCTGGGTGCCCGGGTGCTCTATCGCCCTATAGCCGTATAGCGCTATAGCCCTAGAGCCCTACAGCCATTTAGCCCCATAGCCCCATAGCCCCATAGCCCTATAATCCTATAGCCCTATAGCCCTACAGCCCTATAGCCCTATAGCCCCACAGCCCTATAGCCCTATAGCCCTATAGCCCTAGAGCTCTTTAGCCCTATAGCCCTATAACTGTATAGCCCTATAGTCCGATAGCCCAATGGCCCAATAGCCCTATAGCCCATATAGCCCTACAGCCCTAACAGAAATTCTGATGCCCAACTTAACCTCACTATGCGGGTTGACGGTATCCACCTCCCGGGAATCCGATCTTCCTGGGCCCCACGGGGCAATGGACATGGACATGTCTGGGCCCCCTGGGGCCCGCACACATCCACACCCGCCGCCTCCCGAGGCCCAGGAAGACCGGATCCCCGGGCGGTGGATCGGAATCTTCTTCGGGCCCCCGGAGCTTAAGGAAGCTGAAGGACTGTATGGGCACTGGTGCGCCCCAGGGCACTGCTGCCGTTTGTCGAGACGGGCTCCCATCCTCGTTTACACTCCAGGTGGGATGTTGGCAGTCCAGGTCAGCGGTGACCTGGTTTAGGGGCCCTGATTGCTTGCGGAGAGACACGTTAAATAAACGTTCCTCGTCCTATGGTTTTCGGGTCACAATTGGGTAACTCGCGGCCGTTGGGGACGATCCGGGAACCCCTGGAGCGCCCTCGGCGAGTCGCAGCTGCTGGCAGGCATCCCGAGGCTGGAAAACCAGGGACAACCGACGAAAACGCCAGAAAACCTCCAACCTCGAACCGCAGGAACCGCCCGATCGCATGCAAGTTGTTCCTCATCGTCCTCGAGAGCCATGGGTCGAGACCTTCTCCCATCTTGAATAGGAGGAGGAGGAGGAGGAGGAGGAGCAGGAGGAGGAGGAGGAGGAGGAGGAGGAGGAGGAGGAGGAGGAGAAGGAGGAGGAGGAAGAGGAGGTGGAACTTTCGAAGTCCTGGTCAGCAGTGGCCTGGCCCTGATTTGAAACGCTCCGCGTCGCATGGCCTTCCGAGCGCACCTCGGGCCTCCGACAGCCGTCTTGGGATGCTCTGGGCACCCCTGGAACGCCCTCGGCGAGGCCTCCTCCTCCTCCTCCTCCTCCTCCTCCTCCTCCTGCTCCTCTCCTCCTCCTGCCTCCTCGTGCTGCTGCTCCTCCTCCTCCTCCCCCTCCCCCTTCTCCTCCTCCTCCTCCTCCTCCTCCTCCTGCTCCTCCTGCTGCTGCTGGAAAACCCGAGGAGAAACGACGGAAACGCCAGAGAATCCCGAACCTCGAATCGACGAAGACGCCCAGCCCCCTGCAATTGGCTCGCCTTTGTCATTTGTGTTTCCTCTTTGCAATTCGCAGCCGTGTGCCGAGAGACATCCTCCCATCTTCGTTCTCTCCAGGTGGAAGTTTGAAAATCCTGGTCGGCCATGCCCTGGTTGAGGGGGCCCTGGTTTCTTCTTCTTCTTCTTCTTCTTATTCTTACGGTCGGGAACTCTTGCTTAGCGTGTCGCGGCGGCGGCCCCGGCGAAACGACGTGCCTTGCGAGCGGATGCCGTCGCGGGGCGGAAGGCTCAGAAAGTCTCGGGTCGTTGACGCCTGTGGATAGCGTGTCGCGCCGCAGCGTGGTGGGCCAGAACCTGCAGAGCGACACGCTAAGCCAAGACTCCTGACGGGACATTTACTTTCTACGTGTTATTCTTTGTATCAGTAATACTCTTAGTTTGCCTCTTCTTCATTATTTTCTTGTGCACCTGATTGCTATCCATCATCATTATCATCTTCTTACCCCTAATCTTAGTTTTGACGGCGTGCTCAAAGGGGTATTGGGGAGGGGGGAAGGCTTCTTTGAAGGAGGCCGCTTCTTAGAAGCCGCCGGCTCTACATCCATGATGAGGCCCCGCCTTCTGAGAAGCAAAGGCGCTTCCCCTCCTCCTCATTACCCCCCTCTGCGCGTGGCCGATTCTTCTTCTTATTCTTGCTCCTCTTATTCTCGTTCTCCACTCGGGGATATGCTAACCTGGGTCAATCCAAACCCGGGGTTGGTCGGGACCTGCAAGACCCTGCAGGGTCATCCAGGACCCTGCGCCAAGGCCCAGGCTCATGCAACCCTGGGCCTGCAGCATCCTGCAGACGTCGGGCCCTCTGCCTGAGCCCCGCCTCTCGAGCGCCCCACTCCTCTTCCTCCTGGATCGGGGGCGCCGCCAAGAGCTGCCCCTGGGCCCCCCAAGGTGCCCCCAGCTTCAGAGTCTGACCGTGCTTTTCGGCACCTTGCCCACGAGCATTCGGCACATTTGCCCACTTCGGGAGCAGTAATGCGGGATGACGATTGATAAAAACATGGGGGAACGATTAAGAAATAGTTTTCTGCTTTTTTGTTCTGCACAAGTTTCTGCCTGGAGGAGAACGATTACAACAAATAGTTTTCCAGCCCGCGGCCCGTTTTTCGAATCGTCATCCCGGGCGCCGCCGCGTGAACACCACCCCCGGTCATCCATTAATCGTCATCCTCCATTGCCAGTAGTCTCCTAGGTGCCGAATGCTCGTGGGCAAGGCGCCAAGCAGCACGGCTGGACTCTCTGCTCGCGCCCTCCTGGGGCCCCCGGAGCCCCCTCGGCCTCGCGAGAAGGGGGGTGCTCCGGAGGCCGCGCGGTGCCTCCTCGGGAGAGCCCCCGGGGGGCACCTCGGGCCGGGGGCGCCTCGGGGCAGCACTCGGCTCCAGCGCGAGGCCGCCGGAGGTGGAGCGCTCTAGAGGCCGTCATCCTACCTCCTTCCTCCTTCCTCCTTCCTCCTCCTTCCTCCTTCCTCCTTCCTCCTCCTCCTCCTCCTCCTCCTCCTCCGGGCCGGGGGCGCCTCTGGGCAGCACTCGGGGATCTTCTGACCCGGGTCAATCCAGACCCGGGTCAGCAGGAAACCAAAAACTACAATGCAGGAAAAAAAACACTGCAGCGCAGGGCTTTGCAAGCCCGGGTCAGCCGATAGGCGCGGCCGCCTCGCGGCCACCTCGCGGCTCGCCAACCCGGGTCAGCCAGAAGGGGTCTTCGCAGGATCCTGCAGGATCTGGCGCCCTGGCTGACCCCCGTTTGCATTGACCCCCGTCTCGAGGCTCCCGAAGCACTCGGCTCTGGAGAGCCCCCGGGGGGGCACCTCGGGCCGGGGGCGCCTCAGGGCAGCACTCGGCTCCAGCGCGAGGCCGCCGGAGGTGGAGCGCTCTAGAGGCCGTCATCCTACCTCTTACCTCCTTCCTCCTACCTCCTACCTCCTTCCTCCTCCTCCTCCTCCTCCTCCTCCTCTTCCTCCTCCTCGTCCAGCCCCGCCGGGGGCGCCAGCGCCTTGTAGCCGCCCTTCTGCAGGGCCAGCGCGCGGGCCCTGCCGCCCTCCGCCTCGCCCTCGGCGCTGCTGAGCAGCGGGGTGAAGACCTGCGAGGGCGGGCGGCTGCCCAGGGGGGGGGGGCACGGTAAGGCGGGCTGCTGCTCCTCCTCCTCCTCCTCGTCCTCCTCCTCCTGCTCCTCCTCCTCCTCCTCCTCCTCCTCTCCTCCCTCCTCCTCCTCCTCTCTCCTCCTCCTTCCCTCTCCTCCTCCTCCTCTCTCCTCCTCTCCTCCTCCTCCTCCTCCTCCTCCTCCTCCTCCTCCTCCTCCTCTCATCCTCTCCCTCCTCCTCTCCTCTCCTCCTCCTCGGCTCCCCCTTTTCCTTCCTCCCTCCTTCCTCCTCCCCTCTCCTTCCTTCCTCCTTCCTCCCCCTTCATCCTCCTTCCAGCTCCTCCTCCTCCTCCCTCCTCCTCCTCCTCCTCCTCTCCTCCCCCTCCCTTCCTCCCTTCCTCCGCTCCTCCTTCCTCTTCCTCTCCTCCTCCTCCTCCTTTCCCTCCCCGTCCTTCCTCCTGATCTTCTTTCCTCTCACCTCTCTCCTCCTCCTTCTTCTCCTCCTCCTCCTCCTCGTCCTCCTCCTCCTCCTCCTCCTTCTCCTCCTCCTCCTCCTCCTCCTCCGCATCGTCCTTCTCGTCTTCCTCCTTTGTGCGCAGCTCCCCTTTCCCGATTGCGCATAACACGATAGGGGTCTTTCTTGGAGTTCCAGGCAGGCTATGGCACGTGTTAGTGGATAGAGGAACGAGAACAGCGCAATGGGAAGGGACGGGCGGGAGGGAGCGGATGTCAAATGTGGCGCGAGCGCACCCCGCTTGTCCTCCCCCTCTCCTCCCTTCCGCCCCCAACGGCGCCAGGGGGGGCCATAGCTACCTCGCCCCCTTGGGGGCTCCTCTCTGCCCTTCGCACCTTCGTGGCCTTCCCACATTGTTTCTACAAGCTCTGGCTTGATCGCCCCGCCCCCTCCTTCATTGACTCATTCGATCTGTGCGGTTCTCCTTGACTTCGGCCTCCAGGGGTCGCTTTCGGGCCCCGGGACCACAGGAAAGGGGTCGGGAGATCTGGGGCCGCGGATTGAAAACCAATTACCCCAGTGCGACCCTACCTAGAAGTTGGAGCCCCTAGGAAAGCAGCATTATTTGCTATGCTATGCTATGTTATGCCATGCCATGCTATGCTATGCTGCGCTGTGCTATGCTGTGCTGTGCTGTGCTGCGCTATGCCACGCTATGCTATGCTATGCTGCGCTATGCTATGCTATGCTGGGCTATGCTAGGATATGCTATGCTGCGCTGTGCTATGCTATACTATGCTGTGCTCTGCTATGCTAAAGCTCAGCGAAGCTAAGATGAATATAAACTAAGCTAAGATTAACCTGAGCCAAGATGAAGCTAAGCTAAGCTAAGATGAAGCTAAGCTAAGCTAAGATGAGATAAGCAACGCTAAGCTAAGGGGACGTAACTGGGGGAACCGCGGGGCGGATACTGGGGAAACCGCCCGGGCCGGTTCCCACTGCCCGGCCCTTTAAGCCAAGAGAGTAAGAACCCTTCTAGGCAGAGCCTGGGTAGGGAATAACATCGGAGGATATTCGCCTCCTCCTCCTCTTCCTCCTCAGGGCCCGTAGACCCGATATTATGCTGCTGCTGCTGCTGCTGATGATGATGATGATGACGATGCTGATGATGACGATGATAATAATGATGATGACGATGACGATGCTGATGCTGATGCTGGTAATGATGATGCTGCTGATGCTGATGATCATTCCGCTGATGATGGCTGTGGTGGTGATGAGGATGCTGCTGATGATGATGCATGGTGATGACGGTGATGACGACGATGATGATGCTGATGATGATGTTGATGATCACGACGACGACGATGATGATGATTATCATGATGATGAAAATGGTGATGATGATCATGATGATGGCGATACTGATCATAATGTTGAAGCCGATGATGATGATGATGATGATGATGATGGCAATAATGACGATGATTGTGATGATGCTGATGATGCTGCTGCTGATGATGATGAGGATGAGGATGATGATGATGGTGGGGATGATGATGCTGATGATGATGATGCTGACAATGATGGTGCTGTTGATTGATGATGATGATGACGATGATGATGATGCTGATGACCATGCTGCTGATGATGGTTGTGGTGATGATGATGCTGCTGATGATGGTGATGATGATGATGATGATGAAAGATGGTGATGATGGTGATGACGACGACGATAATGCTGATGATGATGCTGAGGATCACGACGGCGACGATGATGATGATGATCATGATGATGGCGATGATGATCAGGATGATGGCGATGCTGATCATGATGTTGAAGCCGATGATGATGAACATGATGGCAATAATGACGATGATTGTGATGATGCTGGTGCTGACGCTCACGCTGATGATGATGATGGTGGGGACGATGATGATGCTGATCATGATGATGCTGATGCTGACAATGATGATGCTGCTGATGATGCTGATGATGCTGATGATCATGCTGCTGATGATGGTTGTGGTGATGATGATGATGATGCTTCTCATGATAAGGATGGATAGTGATGATGGTGATGATGACGACGATGATGCTGCTGCTGATGATGATGATGCTGATGATCACGACAACGACGATGATGATGATCATGACGACGACGATGGTGATCATGATCATGATGGCGATGATGAGTATGAGGTTGAAGCTGATGATAACGACGATGATAACAATGACGACGATGATTCTGATGATGCTGATGCTGCTGATCATGCTGCTGCTGATGATGATGCTGCTGATGTGGATGGTGATGCTGATGATGATGATGCTGATGCTGAAAATGATGATTCTGCTGATGATGATGACGATGGTGCTGATGATCATGCTGCTGATGATGGTTGTGGTGGTGATGATGATGCTGATGGTTATGATGATGACGGATGGTGATGATGGTGATGACGACAACGCTGACGCTGCTGATGATGATGATGCTGATGATCACGACAACGACGATGATGATGATTATAATGGTGATTATGATCATGATGATGGCGATGATGTTGAAGCTGATGATGATGACGATGATGACGATGATTCTGATGATGATGATACTGATGCTGCTGATAATGCTGATGATGGTGGGGATAACAGTGATGATGATGATGATGATGCTGATGCTGCTGAAATTGACGATGATGATGATGATGATGCTGATGCTGGTGATCATGCTGCTGATGATGGTTGTGGTGGTGATGATGATGCTGCTGATGATGATTGATGGTGATGACGACGACGATGATGATCCCGATGATGATGATGATGATGATGATGATGATGATGATGATGATGATGATGATGATGATGATGATGCTGATGATCACAACGACGACGATGATGATAATGATGATGATAGTGATTATGATGATGATGGTAATGCTGATCATGATGATGGCGATGCTGATCATGATGTTGAAGCTGATGATGATGACGATGATGACCATGATTATGATGATGCTGATGCTGATGCTGATGATGCTGCTGCTGCTGATGCTGCTGATGATGATGATATTGATGAAGATGAAGATGATGATGATGATGATGATGATGATGATGGTGATGATGATGATGATGATGATTATGCTGATGCTGCTGATGATGATACTGATGCTGATGATGACGACGATGATTCTGAGGATGCTGATGCTGCTGATGATGCTGCGGATGCTGCTGATGATGCTGATACTGATGCTGATGCTGATGATGATGACGATGATGGTGCTGCTGCTGATGATGATGATGATGATGATGCTGATGATGATGCTGATGCTGATGCTGATGCTGATGCTGATGCTGATGCTGCTGATGATGACGATGATGATGAGGAGGAGGAGGAGAAGGAGGAGAAGGAGGAGGAGAAGGAGGAGGAGGAGGAGGAGAAGGAGGGGAGGAGGGGGAGGAGGAGGAGGAGGAGGAGGAGGAGGAGCAGGAGCAGGAGGAGTTGGAGCAGTGGGAGGAGGAGGAGGAAAGAGACGTCCTCGGGGCCAATCGCCCTCGAGCTCGCTCGCTCGCCCATTGAAGGCCACAACGCATCGATAGAGACCCCAGGCTGCGTTCCACTCCGCCCCCCTCCTCCACCCTCCATCCTCCTTCCATCCTCCTCCTCCACCCTCCTCCTCCTCCTCCACCCTCCTCCTCCACCTCCTCCACCCTCCTCCTCCTCCACCCTCCTCCACCCTCCTCCTCCACCCTCCTCCCCCGGGCTGCGTTCCACTCCGCCCTCCTCCTCCTCCTCCACCCTCCTCCTCCTCCTCCTCCTTCCATCGTTGGTGGGAATGCCGCGAGCGCCAGGAAAACGATTCCGAATCCCAGATCCCAGCAATTCCCCAAAATCTATGCACTCCCGTGGGGAATCATGAGCGCCCACGTGCGCGTATTGCACCTAATTCTGCCATCGAAATCCAGACCCCTGCGGATAACTCGCAAGCACGTCTTGTGCGTGAAAGTGGCAATAGACCTCGCAAGAGTGAGGGTGCGAACGCTGGCCTCGTTTGGGCCGGAGCTAACGCATCGCATCGCATGAGTGCGAGACGAGCTGCTCGAACATATCTCTTGGCCTTTGGAGCAGAGGAATCCAGCTGCTCGACATTCTGGACCGACTGTCGGGTTTGAAATGGCCCGAACTGGCCCTTCGTGCTGGGTCGGAGCTGCTGGCGCTGAAGCCCGAGGAGGACGATCTGCGCGTGCACCATCGAACGGCCCGCTGTGAGTTGGGCTGCGCAAGTGGGTCCATGAAGCTGCATCAGGATTCTCTGAGACCTGGCGGTTCTGAAGGATGTATCGGGCACCGCGGCCGTTCAAGAAAGCTCTCTGGAGCGATTTGAATTGATCCTACGGCCTGCCTGGCGGCTGCTGCTCCGATCCGTCCTTGCACTCCGTTTCTGCTATATCTGGCTCGCCCCCAGATGTCCTGAACCTTAGTTGTTCTTAGAAGCGCTGGGGGTGTTGTTTCTTGTGTTTCTACTTTTCGCTCCTCACTCGGCCGACATGTTTTCATTACACCCTTGCGGCAGAAGACTTCGAAGAGCTTCCCACAGTGACGGTAGGGAGCTACGATGAGGGGTCACGATAAGGGGGCCAGATGGGGGAATCGGAACAGGAATAGGGGCAGGGATATAGGGATAGGGATATGGGTATAAAGGATGGGGATGCATGACAGGGGGTAAAAAAGGATAGAGGCAGAGGGCAGAAGGATAGGGACATAAACGGTGGGAGACAACGGGAGACGGTGCGACACTGGGAGACAACGGGGAAAACGACGAGAGACGATGCCGCCCGACCGCTTCCGGATCTGGTAGCGCACCTCCTGGTTTCTTAGAGCACTGATCCAGAAACCTTGCAGACAAGCTGTTCTGGTCGGCGCGCACAAAGGGGTCGGGGGGGGAAGGCTTCTTAGAAGGAGGCTGCTTCTTAGCAGGGGTGCGTCTACGAAACCCTCCCCTCTCCCCCTACCCTTCTCTGCGAATGGCCGATGTTTAGGGAAACCCGGAACGGCAGAACATGAGCGCAAAGCAAGCGGTACTTTGAGATCCAAACGCGCATCGAATCTGGACGAACACGGAAAGAAACGGAGCAGTTGGGCCCAGACCTGAAAACGCAGCAACAACTGAGCCGACAACTTGCTAAACAAGCTGCGATCTTGAAAACGAAAAACGCCCTAACGTTTTCAGTAACATCTACGCCGTACCCCCTCCCCCAACAATTGGCGTCTCTCGTGTGCGCATCTCTAACTTTCGCCAGCCTTCCGTCGGCAAGGCTGCCCCTGCTTTACTTCCGCCAGCCTTCCGCAGAGGGTGAAATCATGACCCTTCGATCCCTCGATGGCGGGGCCCTCTCTGGAAGACGCCATTCAAACCCAGGTCTGCCTTGAGTGCGAGGTCCAAGAACTCCGCCGACAGGTGCGGCAGGATCGCATTGGCGAGGTCAGACAGCGCAGCGGCCTGCTCGATTGGTGTGGGGCCGTTGGACAGAGGGGGGGGGACCGCAGAAGAAGAGAAGCATGATAGAAACAGGACAAGGAAGAGGCGATGCAGGACCGCGACGAATGCCTACAGTATCGTAACTGTCTGTATCTTTGCCTACGCGGTGGACTGCTCGAGGATCGGTCCACGACCGAAGAATCGGGGCGACCCGCCCAAATAAGGCCTAATGAGGTTCAAAGTCAGGTGACGCAGGAGGAAGATAGATGAGGGTGAGAAGTAGTGAGGAGGACGGTAGTAATTGTACTACGCTGCTGTGCTTCGAGCTATCAACGTCAACGGATTCCAGTATGTGAGAGAGCGTGATCCACCGCCGCTTTACTGTGGAACATTCCCCCCCTCTTCCTCCGGAACCTGGGGACCTCCCCCCCTCGGAAAATCAAAACCGGGGGGGTCACTACCGGTTCGAACCCCCCCCCCCTCTCTCGAAAACCGGGGTGGGGTCACTACCGGTTCGAACCTCCCCCCCTCTCGAAAACCGGGGGAGGTCACTACCGGTTCGAACCCCCCCCCCCCCCCACGCTCACCGCCAGCAATCAACTCTGGGTCCCTACCACCGTCCGCACCACATCCCCCAGTGCTCTCCCCAGCACCACTGTCCTCACCACCACTGTCCCCACTGTTCCCACCACCGTCACCACTGTCCTCACCAGTGCCCCCACTACTGTCGCACTGTCCCCACTGTCCCCACCACTGTTCCCACCACGGTTCCACTCTCCCCACTTTCTCCACGGCCCCAACCACTGTCCCACTGTCCCCACTGTCCCACTGTCCCCGCCGCTGTCCCCCTGAGCTATCCCACTGTTCTCACTAGTGTCCCCACTGTCCCCACCACTGTCCCTATTGTACCTCTGTCCCATTATCCCACCGCCGTCCTCGCCACCGCCCTCACCACTGTCGCCACCACCACTGTACCCTCCACTGTCCCACTGTTTCCACCACATTCCCACTGTCCCCACACCACTGTCCCCACCACCACCGTCCCCACCACTGTCCCACTATCCTCACTGTTCCCACCATTGTCCCCGCTGTCCCCACCAGTGCCCCCACCAGTGTCTCACTGTCCCCACTCTCCCCGCCATTGTCCCACCACGGTCCCACTCTCCCCACTTTCCCCACCGTCCCCACCACTGTCCCGCTGTCCCCACTGTTCCCACCACTGTCCCACTGTCCCCGCCGCTGTCCCACTGTGCTGTCCCACCGTCCCCACTGTCCCCTATCACTGTCCCACTGTCCCCACTGTCCCCACCACTTTCCCCACTGTGCTACTGTCCCACCATTGTCCTCACCATCGCCTTCACCACTGTCCCCACCACTACCGTCCCCACCACTGTCCCACTGTCCCCACCACTGTCCCGCTGTCCCCCCACCACTGTCCCCACCACCACCGTCCCCACCACTGTCCGCACCACTGTCCCACTGTCCCCACACCACTGTCCCTACCACCACCGTTCCCACCACTGTCCCAACATCCCCACCATTCTCCAACTGTCCCGAGGAGCGGGCATCGTTTGCCGGCGGCGAGGGGGGGGGAGGGGTTCGAACCGCTAGTGACCCCCCCCCAATGTTCGAGGAGGGGGGGGGGTTCGTTCGAACCGGTAGTGACCCCCCCGGTTTTCGTGTCGGCGGGGGTTCGAACCGGTAGTGACCCCCCCCCTTTTTCATGATTGACTCGGGGGGGGGGGGGGGGGGGGGCGGGTTAGGAACCCCCAATGACCCCCCCCCGGTTTCCGCCAGCAGCGGTAGAACACGCTCTTTCCAGTATATCAAGAGGTCTGATCCTGATGTATGGTGTTGTTGTCTTCTCTTGGTATCTGTTGTTGATCTGTTTATGGTGCAGACTGTGGTTGTATCTTACTGATACTTAGTTGTTTGCCCTCGATCTACGCATCGTTTCGTTACTGTACGTTATGAGACTCTACTGCTGCTTGCCAATGAATGTTTGTGGTGCCATTCTGGATGACGGTTCCCTGTATACGTTTTTGACGTATGTTCTATTTCGGGCCCCCGCCGCCGTCGGTCGTCGTCGTCGGTCGCCTCCCTCACGCGCCGCATACGTCTTCTTCTTCGGCCTGCGGTGGGATGAGTTCGACCTGATGCGACCCGTCGGCTAGGCGGGGCCCGATCGCGAGTTGGCAAGCGCTGGCCTGCTGTCTCCCCTTCCTTCTCTGAGCTGGACCTCCCACTCCCGCGCAAGCGGTTGTGGGGGGCGCTGAGGTCGGTGCTCCTCCTCGTTTTCCTCCTCCTCCTCCTCCTGCTCCTCCTCCTCGCCATCCCCCAAGGCCGAGCTGAGCGGAGCGGTGCTGAGCTGGGCCGAGATGGACCGAATTGCGCCGAGCCGGTGTGACTTTGGCCGGGCCGAGCGACATCGGACGGATCTGGAGTGAACTGTACTGACCTACGTTGCACTGCCCCTCCTCTCCCTGTGTCATCCTCCTCCTCCCGCCCCCCTCCACCCCGCCACCTAGATTCCCAGCGGAGAACCCCAAGCCTCCCAGACACCCAAGAACGGACTTCTCTGGAATCCTAGCATCTCCCCAAGCCCCTTGGACACACTCTTGGGCCTCCCCTTCTCCTCCTGCTCCCTCCTCCTCCTGCTCTCTCCTCCGTCCCATTTATCCCCCCAATCGCACCATCACACGTGTGGGTAGGCAGGGCTCGGCGTTTCGCTCCAGACTTCCATGCGACTTAGCACCCCAAAACTACAGAAACTCAACCAATTTCAATAAGATAGGGCGGGTGTTTTTTTTGGGAATGACACGCAGATTCGTCTCAACATTTTTGCAGCACCTGCAAGGATTGACGGCGGGTGGTTTTCACAACGCGGATCTCGCCCTGGCGCTGGGCACATTCGTCTTTAAAGTCTGCAGCAGCTCCAGGGGTGGAGGACAGCTTCTTTAAACAATGGGGCTATTGCTTGTGACTTCCT